ACTTGCAATAACAAAAGTTTTCTTTCATTTGTTGTAACTGAATTTATTTGCTTCTTCTTGTGTGTGACAAAAATGCTGTTTTCCAGAGAAGCTGGTTATGTTTTATAATCGTTTGGCTCTCAGTCACAGAGGATTCATGGAAAACAAGAGAAACACACAGAGCTTCTACACAAAGTCAGTAAGAGTGTGTCCAGTTTCCTGAACCATGATGTCTGCATGTTATGGATGTTCGTGGCAGTGCTCCATGGCTTATGTCATGTGCATGCTCACCATTTTTCCTTCAGCTGGATCCTGTGACAAGAGTTTATTACTCAAGCTAGGTCATGCATATTTAGGCAAAAATTATGAGTGACCACATGTGCCCAATCTTGGATGCAGTACTACTACGACTCTAATTATAATAATCATTATAATAATTTGGGTTTAGAGCCCTCATAAATATAAATACTGAAGTACAGGAGATGACCATGTGAATTTATACTCTGTCAGTATCAGAACAGAGCAACCAGAAGTTAACTTTGACTTCTGCACGTCAGAACGTACAACATACGTTGTGCACTGCAATGAGGAAGCTGGTTTAGAGCTGTTACTCCTGATCTGCATCATTTGACATCCACAGGAGTCATGCTATACCACAAATTTTAAATTTAGATCACAGGGTTGTGTAGGATTAAGGACTTGGACTTGCGTTCTGATTAACCACAGTTCCAGTCTCATGTTACTCAGCCTAATGTGGACATAAAGTCTCATCTGCACTGTCTGCTCTGGAGAAACATGACTGTATGAAATTGATGTTTGAGGGCTGAGAGGAAAGACTTCTTTGAAAGATATTTTAATGGATCTCTAAATAAAATAAGTGTGAAATTGGTGTAAAAAGCATGTTGACGAATATATTTAAAAGTGTTATTGTTTAAGGTAAAAGAGAAAAAGAGGAAAAACCCGTATTATTGGTAAACCTGTTCAAAGAATATTGCACTGTTACTAGGCTGTACTTTATTGAAGCGTAATACATTCACTAAATAAAGGTTAAACGAGCTGAATGGATACCAAGCTTCCCTTGTTTTTTCAAATGTATGTGAGCTCTGTTTATTTTCTCTGTTTCACTTTTGTAATTTTTCCTTAGAAGAGACTAATAATTAAAGAGGAAACAAATATTCTTTTTACCCCAGGACTGATATACTGATGAAGAGCTGAGCATCAGCATAGAGCACTCAGGTGTGTGTTAACAGAATGTTACACTTCCCAGGAGAAAATTCATCTCAAAGCCAGATGGTGCAATGCTCAGAAAAACTGCAAATCCCCCAATAGCTACACCTCAAACTTAATGACAGTTGAATTAGAAAAGGGCTGAACAATTATTT